GTACCATAAAGGCTTTAGGGTTTAGGGTTTAGGGTTTAGGGGTTAGGGTTTAGGGTTTAGGGTTTGGGGTTTAGGGTTTAGGGTTTAGGGTTTAGGGTTTAGGGTTTAGGGTTTAGGGTCTAGGGTTTAGGGTTACGAGTCCCAAAAGGGTATAGGGTTTAGGGTATGATTGAGGGTCTGTGTATCCACTTAGTATATACTTGGGCCTTGAAGTTGTCCTTATATAGGTGCGTAAGTGCCAAAGCACCATACCATATGGGCACATGCACTTAGGGCTCATGGGTTCCGGAAGACTTTGTAGAGGTTTATATACGACTTTGTCGCTGTTAGATGGGCTTCGGGTCTACATAGGGTTTTAGTCACTGCCTACAAGGGTTTAGTGCCTTGGGTTCAGCATGTCTGGTTTGGGGCATTTCTCGGAGTAATCCCTAAGATTCCATGTGCCCCTATAGTACATATATATATATATACACATACATATGCGCACACATGGGCCCCAAAGTGCCTATATAGGGGTCGACGTTGCAGCCAAAGTATATACAGTATATTGGCACTTGGAGCCTGAGGGAATGATTATGCTAGGAGTCCCACAGGAATCTAAGCGGGCTACGGATTCCAAGTCCACTCACCCAGAGGGTCCATATATACTACCTTGATGGACTTGGGTCCCCCAAAACCATTCCTATTATGGTTGTGGGGACCTACTCAAATAATACGTGATATGTTTGGACCCTCTCGCTCCAGCATAATTGAACACACCAGCCATCGAGCCTTGTGGAGACCTGCCCCCCCCTTCGTATCGAGCATAGTTAAACCATGTGACATCCAAGCTTCTTCATTAGAGGATCCGATGAGCAAACCCACGAGCAGTCTCTGGTTAGTAAGATCCCCGTTTGAGGGCTTGAAGTTTCGGGAGTCGCTTCCTGATTTAGCAGGGGCTTGAGTTTGTGCAGTGTGGGGGTCTGGGTTTGTGGTCTGGGATTTTCCTGCCAAGTGTCCGATCTGTAGAACGCGCGCTTCTTGCGCTATCACCAGCGCATGCAGCTTGTCGCGCGCCCTTGTCACGAAGATGCTGTTCGTCTAATATCTTAAATGTGTTTCTCAGGACCGCCCCACCTAGTCAGGCAACAGTCTACTTCTAGCTGCTCGCTCGAGGATTACTACACTCTACGTGCCGGAATAAGTAGAAATTCCGATGTTGCCTTTAAGTATACTACAGCTACTACAAGACACCCCAAAACCCAAAACCCTTACGCATCCCCAAGCCTGAAAACAGCCTACGACCATCGCCAAGACCCTATGCAGAAAGGTTTCTTGTTTAGGGGCTTAGGGTTTAAGGGTTTAGGATTTAGGGGTTTAGGGTTTAGGGGTTTAGGGTTTAGGATATGGGATACTAGGATGCCCAGTAACCTAGGATTAGAAAGGGCTGCCTTGTTGCTATTGAATACCTTCTATACGGAGCATAAGACTTAAACAAGGGAAATAGGCCCCCCCCTGGTTGTCCTAGTTGAAGAATACAGGTTGACACGTTCAAGAGATCTCAACACATCATATGCCCTAGACTCTAGCCCTAACCCTCCGGGTCCATGTACCCAAACAGTATATACTTTGGCCCCAAAGTATATAGGGACTAGTTCAAGGCCAAAATATATACTTTCTGGGCACACAGATTTTATGCCCTAAATTTAAAAACCCTTATGGTTCCCTTTTTTGGAACCTTTATGGTACCCTTACAGGAGCCCGTAAGATTCTTGCAACCTCAGGGCTGACGCACTTGCCGACGCGAGGGGCACCGCCGCATGCGGTACCGCTCTTACAAGCCTCCACTACTTCCTGGACCCTTGCCAATGCCCAAAAGCGACTGGACAAGTTTCATTGTCTTCGATCACACACGCCCTGAAAAGGAGTCATTAGAGTTAGGGTTAGGGGGAATCTTGGGGATATAGACCCTCTCAAGAAGGTCCCGTTTCAGAGAGCCACAAGTAGGGTTCAGAAGGAACCCCTTTAAGAGGTCGCCCTAATACTACCTAGGAGCCCCTTAAGGTAAACCCGAAGGCTACAAGACCAAACCTTTAGTAGCCACAGTGCCATAAAAGCTCAAGCATCCCATACCCTCAATGCCCTAGCATAGAAGCCTAAATTAAGGGTGTTTAGGGTTTAGGGTCTAAGGGTAGCCATACTATTCCAGAGAGCTTCTCAATTTATTTACAGCAAGCTTGACAATCACCCTGTTCTCCAAGCCCCTGAACACTCGAACCCCTACGTACAAAACCCTCGCAGAACCTTCTGGAGGAACTCTGAAGGAACCCCGTTCTAATCATGAACGCCCCTCAATCTAAACCCTAAGCCCGAACCCCAACCCTAAAACCCTAAACCCTAAACCCCAAAACCCTAAACCCAAGCACTAAACCTGCCGAGAAGCTCTTGGAAGCTCCGGCGGGCGTCCACCACGGCATGCGTGTCCGCCTCCGTCATATTCTTGAAGAGGGCTGACCTCAACTCGGTAGTTCTCTAAATTAGGGTCCCTTTTAGAGTCCGGCTTAGGGTTTAGGGATTTTTGGTGATTGATGGGTTTAGGGTTTAGGGTTTAGGGTATGGGTAATATATTAGAATAGGGTTTTGGGGTATATTATACCATAGCGATATAATAAGGAACCGCCAAAATAGTATAGGTAATTATTTAGGCCCCTATATTAGTTGTCCCTTTTAGAGTCCTTTTCACAAGGGTGCCGTACTATATTGGGGACCCAAGAAGGGACCTACTTTAGAGAACTACCCGTATAGGGCCTATGGTAAACCCAAAAAGCTGGAAACCGGATTAAGGACAACTAGTGCTGGGATTGCGTATACATTATTCTTAGGGATTGAGGCTGTTGGGTTTCCAACTTTTGGGCTTCTACTGTATAGGGTTTAGGGGTTCTGGCTTGATGGCTGATTAAGTTTCACCAAAACAAGTGCTACGGCTTAGGGTTTAGGGTCTAGGGTTTAGGGGTTTAGGGTTTAAGGTTCAGGGTTTAGGGTTTAGGGTTTACCTGTAAACTTCGGAGGCCAAGTTGCATTGACATGTATTGTGGATAACTACAGTTCCTGACACCCTATAATTAATAACCTCAAACCCTAAACCCTAAACCCTAAACATAACCCGCCTAGTAGCCATGGTACCTACGCATAGAGTCACTGCTCCTCCGCCGCATGTACACCCACGAGTACCCATTGCCATCAACCTACTGTATACCATAAACTGCCAAATCCTACTTATTTTCGACACATCTCTAAATTCTGTGTTAGGTTGAATATATGGACTCTGCACCACTACACTACGGTTTATACTGATCAAGCGGACTTGCCAATGAAAGTACGTCCATGACCAGGAAACAACAGTCCACGTGGTGTTAATATAAATACCCTGGGGGATAGGGCCTTAATCATCAGAATCGGCCCTTGGGGTATACGATACGATGATTACGAAGCCCATAAGGCACGTCATTGGTAATTATTCAGGCTTCTACATACAGTACCCCAAACGCGCTGGACAGGTCCTGTAGTAGAACCCTGAACCCTCAGCCCCAAACGCGAATCCCCGAACCCTAAACCCTAAACTACGACCTCAACCCCCAAAAAATAGGCAAAATAATGGCCCAACACATCTATAAAAGCCCAGTGTTCTGTAATACTTTGGGGGTCCGGGTAAGCCCTAACCCACACACCCCTAAACCCCAAATCCGAACCCCGACGACCCGAAACTCCCACACCCTAAACTGGTATAGAATTTGGGTTTAGGGTTTAGGGTATAGAATAGGGTTTAGGGTTTAGGGTATAGAATAGGGTTTAGGGTTTAGGGCATAGAATAGAGTTTAGGGTTTAGGGTTAAGGGTTTAGGGTATAGAACCCCTCTCAAACCCGTAAAGCACACCCAAGACATAGAGAAACCCTAACTTGGGGGTGGCGGGGCAGCGAGTAGTTGTGAAGAGGGCAGACGGCTTCGGTTTGCACCCAAACCCCAACTCCAAACCCTAAGCTGTAGACACTGAATGCACCGAGCTGCCACATAGTCAGCAAGTTACGATAGAGACCTGCATCGAAAGGGCTTAGGGTTGAGAGTTAAGGGCTGAGGGCTTCTTCCCTATATCCTAAACCCCAAAGGGAGAATCTAGGGTTCAGTACTTTGCTTGATGGCTTCAGGTTTTGCAGTTCGGGACTAGGGCTTGTAGGGTTAAGGGACTATCTACGGCTTTGCGATTGACCTGGCCAAAGGGGCAGGTCATACGCAAGGATACATGCAAGAAAACCCCACTTAGTGGGCACACCCTAAACCCTAAACTCGTCGTTAACCTCCAGAGATCGGGTCCAGGATTTGCGGCTCTGGGTGGCAGTCGCGTCGTCAAGGAACAACAAACTCCTCTATCACCGGACCTAAACATGGGGGCTCAAAGCCTAAATCCTAAACAGCCACAGCGTTGAAAGATCCCCTTGCTGAACTGAACCCTACACCTTGAGTTAAACCTGCAGAATTGCCAGTTCCGGGAAACTGACTCTTAGGGGGCTGTGCAGAATCCCTGCAAAATTCGGTGTCCCTTCTTGAGGGGTCCTTAACCCTAAACATCCCTAAACCCAACTAGAGGTCCCGGATTGTCTGCAACTGCCACCATCCGACTTTTTGCTCAATGGAAACCCTCGGGGTCCATGCACCCAAACAGTGTATAGACTCTAGCCCCTAACACCCAAAGAACCTACCATTTTAAGGACTTATATATATATATATATATATATATAGAAATCCTACTGAGGAACCCTAAAAAGGTAGGTTCTTTAGGGTCCAGGTAGCCCTTAAAGTCCCTATATAGGTACTCTGGGGCCAAAGCAGATGCCATTTGGGCAATGTAGGGGCCTTCAATTAGAATAGGGTTTTGGGGGGTTCCTTATCATAACTACGTAGAATATAGTACACCCCCAAGCCCTATTCGAACTATTCATGCCCCTCTACATGGCTCAAAATCTATGAGCTCAGGTATGACCTTAAACCCCAAAACCCTACACCCTAGAAGCCCTGTAGCATCCTCAAAGGATCACAAAAACAGCACCCCTAATCAGGGATATAATACATGGGCTCCTCAAAGCACCCTGGCACATCCTTGTAGTACCCTCATTATACTGCCCTTCTAGTACACTTCTAGGACCCAAAGCTGAATTCTTGTTGTACCCTGAGAGATCACTCTAAACCCTAAACCCTAA